AAAAAAAAAAAAAACAAATCAGAACAAAAAAACCACTTTTTATCGTTAGTTTTTTTCCTTTTTCGCTTTTTTTTTTCTTCTTTGTTTCTTTCTTCAGTGCTAAATTTTGTATGGTAAAGATAAGAGTCAGTTTTTCTTGCCAATTTTACAAAAAACCTTGTTTTCTCAACAAGAAAGCAGACTTTTATACAATAAAGAAGCAAGAAGAAAAAAATTTTAACGGTAAATAAGGAAGCAAATAATAATAGTTCTCTAATCTGTACCTGAACGAAAGTTCCATTTCAAAACCCGTGTCCTCCATTGTAATAAAATTTAGTGAAGTCTATCGGATGTCCCAAAATTTATTTCTGCTTCTCCTCTCTTTCTAATATTTCAACTTTTTCTTAACCTTTTTTATTTTTCTAGCTTTCTTCCTGCTTCTAACTTTCCGACGACTTTTCTGGTTCCTGTTTGCTGCTGTTGTTGCTGTTATTTTTATCCAATAACTCCACAATCTTTGTTACTTCGAATGTTTGCTTATGGTTTCTGTGTCCACAATGCACACACAAATATGTATGTACCAAATAACAGCATATAAATATTATTCTTTAAGGTTTAATCAGTCAATCAGTCAGTCAATTAGTCAGTTACTCAGTTAGTCGGTTAGTTTCAAGTTCAGTTCACTTAGCTCCGGTTTCACGGTATTCTACCAACGATAGGTACTTGGTGTATCGGCAAATGATGGATAATCCAAAATAACAACAAATCAGATGAAGGGAAACAAACAGAAACAAACAGAAGAGTGAAAAAACAACAACGACAGGAATCTGTTAACCTGTATCAGAGTAGCGTATAGATTTATTGGTAATACCTCAAAATAATAGCAACTAACCACAGTTGGGTAACAGTGCAATTTAGACCAAAAACTTCAGCAGCTGTAGCAACAAAGACAACAGTAACACAACAGATCCGTCTAAATGATACTGCTAATTAATTCTTAATTACTTATATTAGTTTGGGTATCACTAGAAGTTGATACTTAAACATTATAATATTTGCCTAATGGCATATTTACTCAGATAATAGGCATAAAATAACCCAAATAAAAATTGGTGTTTTATGAAACAGCTCTTTTTTTTTGCCTTCTTCTGTTTGTTTCTGATAATATATCGGGTCGCCAGTTGATTGATAGGTTTAGCAATTGAAAATCAGTTAAAGCACTTGTAAAACAATAAAAATTATACATAAAAAGAAAAACAAATAAATAAACAAATAAATAAAAAAAAAAAATTCAAAAATAGAAATTAAAATAATTAAAAAATTTTCTCTTTTTTTTTTTCTGTTTACTGCTTTTTTTTTTTTTCATTTCCATATAAAGGATATGTATGTTTTATTGTTGTTGTCAAAGTAATAACCACTTTTCAAGTCTGTTCTTTTGTTTTTTGATTTAGTCACCATTTAGACTATAGTTTGATCTTACTTATGCAGACAGACAGATAACTAACAGATACAAAAGAGATGTATGCAAAAAAAAGTGTAAGCCAATCAGTTATTTTTTTGTCTAATTTTACATTTTTTTTCTTTTTAAGAAGGTTAAAAACTATCAAAGAAAAAAAAGAAAGAAAAGTAATTAATTGAAGTTTAATTGCATCCAATTAAATTATACAACTGAAATAGTGAATAAAAAATATTATTGAGTGAGAAAAAAAAAAAGTCGTAGATTATCAAAAGAATTGGAAACAACCAACCAAAACTGTTGTCGGCAATAATAACTGAATTTTATTAACAGTTATCATCATTCAGTACTGTTAACTTTTACTTTTTTTTACAAGCAGTGTAAATATTTATGCTTTTACAATACCATTAACTTTTTTTTTTTTACAAACACACACCATCTTTCTTTCAAAAAATAATCAAAAAAGTAAAAATAAGTAAAGAAGAATAAAAGAAAAAAAGCAGATAGATGAATATTTGATCTTTACTTTTAGACAAAAAAAAAAAACTGAACCCCTTTAATTTTTATTTGTCTATCAAATTTTACAATGTAAAAATAAAATAACCACTGTTAGACAGTTGCTTTATTATTATTATTATTATTATTATTATTATTATTATTAACAGTTAATTATCTTCTTTCCCATTCCAATGATCATCGATCATTGATATTGATATATGTGTTAACACAAGAATTCTCTTAAACAGCATTTTCAGTTTTCACCTTACAATATCTATTAAACAGTTCTCGAAAATTCTACTCATCATTTTTTTTTTTTGCTTTTTTTTTTCCATACTTCAGTAGTCTTCTGTTGTCAGTACACTGTATCAGTACAATTAGCAGAAGCCAAAAAAAAAAAAAAAATTGCTTTTTTTGTTGCTTCTACTCAACAGTTCCATCCTTTTTTTGCTTCAATTCTGATATCAATTACCAAAAAAGCTATTAAAAACAAACAAAGAAAAAAAAAAGATTCTTTTTTCTAAAACAAAAATTTTAACTTATAAGTAACTTTCAGGTAAACACTTTTAGTAGACAATAAAAATAAAAGAAAGAAAAAATTTTCATCATTAGTACACTGATAATGGTAAATTTGTCAACCAAAAAGAAAAAAAAAAGTTCCATTGATTGCCGTTAGTTTCTTCTTTCCTTTTTTTTCCTTCGTTTTCTTCATCTTTCTTTTAGTTCCTTAGAAGTGTTGATTAGTCCATTTTTTTTCTTCTTCTTCTTTTTCAAGGTACCTTTATCAAATGAACTGATCAGATTTCAAACAGTTTAATGCAATTATACTGCAGTCTATGGAACAACCAAAAACAAAAAAATCCCATCAAATTTACACATTACATTAAAAATAATCGAACTAAATAAAACAAAGTAAATGAACAAAATAAACAGATTTTATAAATATAGCAAAAAAAAATTTTTTTTTTACACTTATTTCTTTTCTTAGTGTCGTTGTAAGTTCTTTTTTTTTTCTCTCTCTTTTTTTCCAACACCATTTTATTACTATAAACAAAGCACCTAATAATATATACATAAAAATAGAAGAAAAAAACCTTTTTTTTTGTATAATCTTAAATAAAGTTTAGAAAAAATCTTATTTCTTTTTATTGCACATTTTTTTTTTTTGGTACTGAAAACTGCAATCAATATAAAAAGTTTTCAAAAAAAAATTTGAAAGCCGCCAAAGAAACATCCTTTTTTTTTTACGCTCATTTTTTTTTCTCTTATTCAAAATGTGACCAAAGATTAATTCAACAAATGACAATAGTAATAATAATAATACTAATAATAATAATAATAATAATAAT